CTGACAAAAGTTTGAGTCATTTACAGATAATCATCAAATCATAAATTTAGGAAGCCCTATTTAAAGATAGGTCATATTATAAGAACTCATGTTATTATAAGAATTCATGTTTAAAGATCTCAGTATAGTCAAAAGAAAGAAAGAAAAAGGCTTAATAAACTCTTAACTAGAAGTTACAAAAGGCTTTTCAAAACATATCATAAATGGAACGCCATATTACTTGAACACGAAAGCATGTATCTACAAGAGCCAATGTCACGATCCAAACCCGGACCCAGTCGTGATGGTGCCTTTCATGAAGACGAGGCCAGCCAACTAACCCAATTTGACTTTTCGCAAATAATTAATCATGAATAAACAACTTAAATATGACTTAATAATATTAATTAGCAGTAATATAACCCAACAAAGCCCTAATCGGGGTGTCACAAGTCACGAGCATCTATCAAAATGTAAATCCACTACGAGGTCTAAAATATACAAAACCGGAATAATGAATAAAAGAGAGAAACATGATGCTGCGAACGCTGGCACTCACCTCCTTACTCATATAACTCTGCCTCTGATCGGCCAAAACCCGCTACCAGGAGAATAGATACCTGCATCTGCACACGAGGTACATGTAGTGAAGTGAGTACTCCAACTCAGTGAGTAATAACAATAAATAACGGCTGAAAGCATGAAAATACATAAATGTACAAGGCAATTCTAAACCAGGCAGTAATCACTTAAAGCAGTAAAACCGTAAAGAAGCAAATGAAATCTCCTTTTCAAAATAGGTAAATCGTGTAAAACAATAAGTAAACATGCGTAGTAATCTGCCCCTCGGGCCCAACATCAGTCACTTAGCATAGTATCAGCCCCTCGGGCTCAATATCAGTCACTCAGCATAGTATCAGCCCATCGGGCTTAGTATCAGTCACTCAGCATAGTATCAGCCCCTCGAACTCAGTATCAGTCACTCAGCATAGTATCAGCCCCTCGGGCTCAGTATCAGTCACTCAGCATAGTATCAACCCCTCGGGCTCAGTATCATATCATATGGGTACCCGTGCTCACTGTGGGTGCAGACTCCGGAGGGGCCCCTTACGGCCCAAGCGCTATATCAACATAAGGCCTGAAAGCCTTCTTACATTACTCATAAGGCCTGAAAGCCTCCTCACATCACTCACAAGGCCTGAAAGCCTTCTTACATTACTCATAAGGCCTGAAAGCCTCCTCACATCACTCACAAGGCCTGAAAGCCTTCTTACATCACTCATAAGGCCTGAAAGCCTCCTCACATCACTCACAAGGCCTGAAAGCCTCCTCACATCACTCACAAGGCCTGAAAGCCTCCTCATATCACTCACAAGGCCTGAAAGCCTCCTCACGTCACTCACAAGGCCTGAAAGCCTTTTCACGTCACTCAAGCCACCTCGTGGCATATAAATGTATCTCAGGACCTCGGCCTTACTCAGTCCAGAAAAACATCATAAGCCCCTCGGGCATCACTAAAATAGTAGTGCTCAGCCCAAACAACATTGGAAATATCATTTAAATCTCAAAATTAAATTAAAAGCAGCTGAGTTTGCAAAACATTATTAATCAATAGGACTGAGTTCAAGTAATATATCAAAATAGTGAGGAAACGGTGATAAAAGTCCACGAATGATTCAAGTAGTTGGCATGAAGCCCAAAATATGACAATAAGCCCAAATCATGTTGATAACAAATACATCTCAGTCAAATACAACAACAACAACCCAGTATATTTCCACAGGTGGGGTCTGGGGAGGGTAATATGTACGCAGACCTTACCCCTACCCCAAGGGGCAGAGAGGCTGTTTCCAGGAGACCCTCGGCTCAGGAAAGGAAACAAGTGACGATATATTAGTACTAAATTCAAATACGCGGTAAAAATATCAATCCGGACGGACCAAGTCATAATCCCCAGTAGTAAATAACCCCGCGCTCATTAGTAAGCGCGTGTTTCACCTCAATATAGCACTACGTTGTGCAAATACGGGCTTTCAAACCCTCAGGACATCATTTACTAACATTACTCACCTTGAACCGGCGAAATCTCTAGCTCGCGATGCCTTTGCCCCACAAGTTGACCTCCACGCGTGTCGAATCTATCCATAATCCGAGCAAACACATCACAATATGCTAAGGGAACATTACCCAATCGAAAACAATCGAAAAATATCAAAATTCTCGAAATTAGCAAAACCCAAACCCCGGGTCCACTTCTCGAAACTCAGAAATTTTCACATCATTAGATTCCTTATCTTCCCACGAGTTCATACATATCAAAAGTTCTCAAATCCGAGCTCAAATGACCCATCAAATCCCAATTTGAAGTATCAAAACTCAAGCCCTAGTTTCTTCCATTATTAGTTAAATTCCACGGATTTCTAGGTGGGTTTCACAGTAAAAATGAGTATTGAGATAAAAAATCTTACCTCCAATCGATTCCCCTCGAATCCCTCTTTAATCTCCACAAAGACGCTCTCAAATATCGCCCAAGGCCAAGTGAGAAATTAGGGAAATGGGCTAAGTTCGAATTTAATAACTGGACACAGCCCTCAGATGTGGGAAATGCGAGCTGGGGTTTGCAATTGTGAACCCAGCAGAAATTCCCCAGTCTCGCATTTGCGGACACCTTGTCGCTTTTGCGATATCGCATTTGCGAATCTCTCATCGCATTTATGAACCCTGGCCAAAATGGGCACCTTTGCATTTGCGAGCCCAAAGTCGCATTTGCGACCGGGTCAATTTCGCAATTGCGAACCCAATAGTCGCATTTGCAATCCCAGTGCACTATACCCTTTCTTTCATTTGCGATGTCAGGCTCGCATTTGCGAGGCCTGCTTTGCAAATGTGAAAATTGCAGGAACCAGATTTCCTCTAAGTTCAAAACACACTCCGACACCTATCCAAAACTCACCCGAGCCCTCGGGGCTCCAAACCAATCATACACACAACCTCAAAACATCCTATGCACTTATTCGTAGGGGTGTGCATTCGAATAGGTTTATCGATAAATCGAATCGATTATTTGTTATCGATTTATCGATATCGATTTATCGATTTCGAAATTTTCATTATCGAGTTATCGATTTCGATTTCTATTCTATCCTTTTCGGCTTATCGGTTTATCGATAAACCGATAATATACACTATTTTTTTAATTTTTTATAATTTTTTTAAAAATATTTTTTATAAATTTTTTTAACCTTATTTTATAATACCATTTCCTTTACCCTAAGTCCCTAGCGCTATTATTTCCTCTACCACATTTAAAGAATGATCATATTTAAAGCTCAAGTGAATGAAGTTCAAATTAATGAAAAACATAATTAGCCGTGATGATGTATTTTATTTTTTTATACCGTTGGAGTGTTGGTGGCATACATTTGATCCCTTACTTTAGTTTTGCTTCATGTGCTTGTTGAAACAATATTTATGTTATAAACGGTGCTCTTCTTATTTTAGCTTCTTTTTGTCCATATTAGTTAGGCGTGTTTGTAGCGATATACTTTCCGTGGAATCCCGAAAATTTTCTTATTGGTGTAATCGATAACCGAATCGATAAGCCCCAAAAAATCGATAAATCGAAATCGAGAAAATCGAAACCTTATTGAAACGATAACGATAAGCATATGTTCAAATCGATAATCGATAAATAATTATCGATAAGGGTCAAATCGAATCGATAAATCGAATGCACACCCCTACTTATTCGTGCGATCAAATCGCCAAAACAACTTCATATACATCGAATTAAGCCTCAAAACTCATGATTCCTTCCAAATTTTCATAAAATATCAAATTTCCATTTTAAGTTCGAAACACATCAAATGGCGTCTGTTTTCAACCAAACTTTATAGAAAGCGCTTAAACCATATATAGGACCTGTATCGGGCACCTGAACCAAAATACAGGCACGATACCATAGTCTTTTAATCAAAATTTATTTTCAATTTTCTTAATTATTTTCAGAAAATAATTTCACACAAAAATTCATTTCTCGGGATTGGGACCTCGAAATTTGATTTCGGACATACGCCCAAGTCTCATATTTTTCTACAGACCCTCCGGGACCGTCAGATCACGGGTCCGGATCCGTTTATCCAAAATATTGATCGAAGGCAAATTTATTCAATTTAATATCAAAATTTAGCATTTTTCTCACATAATCCATACCGAATTTTTTTTCCTGAAAACCAAAACCAACTATCTACGTCAGTCATAATACATTACACGGGGCAAGTCGTGCCTGAGAACTAGCGATCAAAGCGCAAAAGCTCAAAACGACCGGTCAGATCATTACATCCAAATAATTGGAACGTATCATATTCACATATCAACTAGATGTATCATTGTTCCCTAATATTGGAGAATGAAGTAGTCAAATTTACCTTATAACAATTTTATTTCCTTTTTGAACTCTCTTCAATGGAAGACAATAAACAAGTTATTGCTATTAATTATCTCTAACTCTTCCTCTTTAAATAAAACAAAAATTATTAATATCCAAGTTCTGCAGAAAGAAACAATATAATTTTTAAGAATCATCAAAATATTGCATCCTAATAGTAGCAGAAAATTTCATTCACGAACGAAAAGCATAAAGATAGTGCTCCTATTAGATAATTTTCAAACCAGGGATTAAAGGAAGAAAATGACAAATTCAAGCTTAACAAATAGACAAAGCATCCTAACAAATAAGAATTTGTCGAGTAAGTGGTTGAAGGAGACATCACTCAGCATAAATAATGTCAATAAACACACTTCAAAGAGAGCAAATATTCTCCTTAATTTTGATCATACATTGAAAAACTCAAAATTCTAAATTTGAAAGCCTTGTTTGAAGAAAGGAGCTGGAACAGTAGATTTTGCTAACCTGGTTATATGAAATACAGATGAGTATTTAAAATACTTCATCTGCTCTGTTAATCTTCCACCGCAATTACAATGTGATAATGTATGGATTATTCACTTACAATGTGATAATGTATGGATATTGTTTGCGTGGTCAAATGGATAGAGCGAGGAGCATTTTTGATTTCATGATAGATAAGAGCATTGAGCCTGACATTATTTGCTATAACGTACTAATAAATGGATATTGTAAGAAAAAGAAATTGGCCGAGGCTATGCAAATGTTTCGTGAAATTTCTCAAAAGAGACCAAAACCTAATGTTGTTACCTACAATACTATCTTGCAAGGTCTATTTGAAGTTGGAAGAATTGGCTCTGTTAAACAAGTATTCACGGAGATGTTATCTACGGGGCCATACCTGATTTATGCACTCATACCACCTTGCTCAATGGTTATTTTAAGTATGGACTTGTTGAAGAAGCTATGTCATATTTTAATAAGTTAGAAATAAAGAGAGTAAGTAGAGATATTGGATTTTACAATGGTGTCATTAATGGATTGTGCCAAAATGGTGAACTCGACAAAGCTCATGCTATTTTTGAGAAGCTTTCTATAATGGGATTGCTTCCTAATTTAAGAACATACAATACAAGGATAACTGGATTTTGTCTGGAAGGGTTGTTAGATGAAGCTAAAGCTATGATAAGAAAAATGGGGGACAACGGTTATTTGCCAAATGAGGTCACTTACAATGTTATTGTGCAAGGATTTCTCAGGTATAGCAAAATTGGTGAAATGACAACTTTTATGAAGGAAATGGCTGGAAAGGGTTTCTCATTTGATGCAACTACAACTGAGTTACTGATAAACATTATAAGGAAGAACCCTTCCGTCCTTGACATGATGCCACATTTTCACTCGAAAACTAAGAAGTGAATATTTCTTTTCCTTGGTTTACTCACTATCATGATACAATTTCCGTTTATCTCTGCGAAAGAAATGGCATCCAGTTCAATATCTGGAGCTTTCCTGGCAGGCTTATTACGGAGGTACATTACTTTTGATATTTTGATTGTTTTTCCACTCTTCTTTATCTTGGAAATCAGATCTTACTGCGGTCTTAATATGATAAATAATATGAGTTCTCTTATGTGTACGCATTATAAGTCTAGGGATAACATTTCCCATGCTATTTAGTTATCTTTTGAGAAGCTATCACAACTGCCAGTGACTTATAAGTTGTTGTTGGAACAATCTTTTCAATATTTCTCAACTCTTGGTTACATCATCCTTAATTGGAACACAAGAACTGACTAGATCAACCACATCCTTCTGCCCCTGAATCATATAATATGAATATTTGTGATTTTCCTGAAATTGAATTAGAAAGTTTAAAATCGATAGGGTATATTACAGGTGAACAATCAACACCGTACTCGAATTATTTTGGTATATATATATATTTGGAGGTTTTTACGTGATCCCAGAGTAGAATGTTTTATTGGGATTGACTTTTTCATTGAACAATGAACGCCATTGACAAATATTGGGAACCATCAACACTTGAAAGTAGGCTAAAGCTTCTCTAGCATTTATTGCAACCATTGTATATGCCAAAGTTAATTTCTTTTACGTAAACTTAATTCAAGTAGGCTAACAATGATATGGTTGAAGTTTTAACTTGCAAAATTTAGCCGTCAAAGGCCTTTTTTTTTTCTTTGAAAAATTCTTTTGCTTGGAAAAACATTTGTGTGTCACGCGAATTTTGCTTTCAGTTTTCTGAAAAGTATCTTAAGCTAGCCTTTAATAAAATAATTCGTCATACCCCTAAACAGAATTACAAAAATGAAGCAAGCTTTTTAGCAGTTGTATTGTATAATTCTCCTGATAATGTCAACATTCCAACACTAGCTTTAGGTGTGGTGCCAAACCTGCATGTCCTTAAAGTGTGCAACTTTTTCTCCTGCTGTTATTTCACTTTGACCTTTACTTCACTTCAATTCTCCTTAAATACTCCCGCCCCACAAAAAGATAAGAAAAAAAGTGAGGGAAAATAGAGAAAAATGGAATTCTTGAAATGTTTCTTAGGTATTCTTGTTCTTGTTATGGTATTTTCTGTGTCCAATGGAGATCCTCTAGTTCCAGCATTGAACATCTGTAGTTGATGTTGGAAGTAATAACAATTAAAGTACACTTAAAAGCTTATGAATTTTCTTCTGTCTAGAATTTGCAAGATGATTTACTAGATGCCCACATCTGGTCTTGTTGCAGCCCTTGACATCCTTCATTCACTTGCAAAATTGGCTCATTTTCTCCATTTCACAGTCATTGCACCTTCTTTTCAAAGGTATGTTCCATCCTTGTGGAGACTAATACACTTCTTCTGTTGGGATTGCTCCGTGAGTGGTCTGTTCCCTATCCATCTGTCTTGCTTGAAGGGGATTTTCCTACTATCTCCGAGTTCAATGTGAATGTGCTCTGAGAATTTACCCCATAAGTTTCTGATATATTTCCAATTTGACATTAGCATCTTTAGTGTTCTTTTTGTTGGGAATAAATTCCCCTACCAAAATAATATTCACGGTAATAAAAGCGGAATAATAATGTAGCACCGAGATACGGTAATTAACAAGAATAAAAGAGTAATGACGACACCAAGATTTTTACGTGGAAAACCCTCCTGAATAAGGGAAAAAACCACGGCCCTGAGAGGAGCAACTGATATCACTATAGTAAGGAATTTACACTTTGTAGGTCCGAGAAAAATACTCCAAAGACCACTACAACACTTCAAAAGAAAATAACCCTCTTTTGATATTTCCACCTCACTACAATATCGCTCACTCTCTATTTTCCTCACAGACTATTTTCTTATACCCTGTCTGTGAAACCTTACTCTTTTCTCTCTGTCTGTTGGTGTGAAAAAATGAGAGCCGAAGCTCTCATTATATAGGCAGAATGCATCCTGCCTTTGTTGATTTCTTTAACTCTGCAGCATGCCAAAATTGACATGCTGCAGCACACCGAACAAATGAGCAAAACATGGGCTGCTATTAGCAGCCTTTATTGACTCCTTTTGATTTGCAAAATAATTCTCGTATCCATCTCGGTCCAAAGCAATTCCCGAGATCAAGTTCATCCGCAAATCAGGTACATGCCGCACATCCTTTAGAACCAATGTGCATCCGACATTTGTCTTGATACAAATGTCACCGATCCCCGCAATCTTTGAGTAACTCGTGTTACCCATTCTCACTGTGCCGAAATCACCTGCTACATATCTGCAAAAAAGATCTATTACCGGTGTGACATGGTAAGATGCCGCTGTGTCAACCACCCATTCTGACTCTGGACCTGACAGGTGCATGCATTCCTCTTCATCATTTATAAAGAGGACAACATTGTCATTGTTTTGCACCATGGCAGCTGTGTTGTCGTCATTCTTCTGGCCACTAGTTTCACCTTTTCCCTTCCTTGGATTTGGGCAATCTCTTTTGAAGTGACCTGGTTGATCATAGTTGTAGCAATTTCTGGCTTTTGATTTGGATCGATTCTTTGACTTTCCACGAGCTCCGGATCTACCATAGTTGCTCGAACTCCTTTGATAACTCCTGCCTCTGCCTTCTGTGATAAGAGCTTGTCCTTGATTTTCAGGCTTCTTTCTCATCTTCTCATTGAGTAAAAGAGCCGATGTGACATCTTTCAACTCAATAGTAGTCTTACCGTGCAGGATGGTTGTTGCCAAATTATCGTACGAAGATGGCAACGAGTTCAATAGCAAAATGGCTTTATCTTCCTCCTCGATTTTTACTCCGAGGTTGGCAAGCTGTGTGATTAGTCCGTTAAACACATTTAAATGTGACAAAAAATTCGTACCTTCACTCATGTGTAGGGCGTATAACTGCTTCTTCAGGTACAATTTATTTGTCAGCGTTTTGGACATGTATAGGCTTTCCAACCTTGTCCAAATTCCACGTGCAGTGTCTTCATCAATGATGTTATTTACCACATCATCCGATAAGTGCAACCTGATTGCACTAGCAGCTCTTTCATCCAAGTCAGCCCAATCCTCAGCTTTCATGGTATCAGGCTTTTTGGCATCAGCAACTAGTACCTTGTGTAATCCTTGTTGGATGAGCAGATCCCTCATCCTTCTTTGCCATGTTGAAAAACCGTTATCTCCGTTGAATTTAGCTACCTCGTACTTTACTCCGGACATTTTTATTTTCCACCGAGTATAGTACTACCGACAGTGAATAGTATTTTAGTGAACGAGCAGAACCTGTGCTCTGATACCAGTTGTTGGGAATAAATCCCCCTACCAAAATAATATTCACGGTAATAAAAGCGGAATAATAATGTAGCACCGAGATACGGTAATTAACAAGAATAAAAGAGTAATGACGACACCAAGATTTTTACGTGGAAAACCCTCCTGAATAAGGGAAAAAACCACGGCCCTGAGAGGAGCAACTGATATCACTATAGTAAGGAATTTACACTTTGTAGGTCCGATAAAAACACTCCAAAGACCACTACAACACTTCAAAAGAAAATAACCCTCTTTTGATATTTCCACCTCACTACAATATCGCTCACTCTCTATTTTCCTCACAGACTATTTTCTTATACCCTGTCTGTGAAACCTTACTCTTTTCTCTCTGTCTGTTGGTGTGAAAAATGAGAGCCGAAGCTCTCATTTTATAGGCAGAATGCATCCTGCCTTTGTTGATTTCTTTAACTCTGCAGCATGCCAAAATTGACATGCTGCAGCACACCGAACAAATGAGCAAAACATGGGCTGCTATTAGCAGCCTTTATTGACAAACTGAAGAATAAAGAAGAAGAAATCTTCTTCCTTCAAAGGGGGATGGACCCCATCACTTTTGTTATTCTTCTACGACAGGAGAATGGTGGGGACATGGAGCGGGCCCCGAACCGGAACATGGGAAGAACCAGGCTGATCTGGGTATGTGTTTGCACCATAAAGAAAGAACAAATAAAGAAGAATCCATTTCTTGAAATTTCTCGAAAAGGGTCTGTTTGAAGTTGGAAGAATTGGCTCTGCCAAAAATTTCTTTGCTGAGATGCTATCTACGGGGCCATACCTGCGTTATAGACTTATGTCACTTTAATGGTTATTTTAAGTATGGACTTGTTGAAGAATCTATGTTAGTCTTTTAATAAGTTGGAAAGAAAGAGAGAAAATACTGCTATTATATTTTACAATATTGTCACTAATCGATTGTGCAAAAATGGCAAACTTGACAAAGCTCATGCAATTTTCGAGAAGCTTTCTTTAAGTCAATTACTTCCAAATGCGAGAACATACAATACAATGATAAATGGATTTTGTCGGGAAGGATTGTTAGATGAAGCTAAAGATAAGAAAAATGGAGGACAACAATTGTTTTGCAAATAATGTCATTTACAATGTTATTGTGCAAGGATTTCTCAAGTGTAGTAAAATTAGGTAAATGACAACTTTTATGAAGGAAATGGCTGGAAGGGGCTTCTCCTTTTATGCAACTAGAACTGAGTTATTGATAAATGTTATAAGGGAGAGAACCTTCTGTCCTTGATATGATACCAGAGATTCACTTGGAAAATAAGAAGTGAATATTTCTTTTGTTTAGTTTATTTGGCAATACTGTCACCGCGCTACAATTTGCTTTTATCCTTGTAAAAGAAATGGCATCTAATGCAATATATTGAGCTTTTCAGCCAGGCTTGTTAAGGAGGTAGAATACTTTTGTTATTTTGATTGTTTTTCCATTCTTATCTTGGAAATCAGATCTTACTACACTCTTAATATGATAAATAATGTGAGTTTTATAATTAAATGTTGAACCACTTGTCCTTCATGCCATACTTCACAGGTACAATGTTTTTGGAACGAGCAGTCTTCATCAAAGGACAACAGCCACTACTTGACT